CCCCTCGTCCCGTGTCTTCATCTTTCTTGGTTCACGCTCAACGCACACTCCAGAGCTGCCTAAGCAAGGGTGCCTGGGAGATGACTCCCGAGTCCCTCCACGCCTGGTATGTTCACATCCAACCTAGTTTGGGTAGGAGGGGGATCTAGGGATCAAACACCATTAAACATTTAGACTTCAGTCCCGTTTTAAAGCGCAGGTCTCATCCCCACCTGCTTTCTGCAGCACCCACAGCTTCTTATCTCAAGGGTGTGTGTGTGTGTGTGTGTGTGTGTGTGTGGTCTTGGAGTCAGTGCCTTCCCTGCTGGTCATGGCCCGTGTTTTTGTGTGTGTGTGTGTGTGTGTGTGTGTGTGTTCTTTATGATTCTCCTGCCTGGTTGGGTTTTTCTTTCTCCTTGTTCTTTTAATACTTTGTATCAATTTGTGAATAATGTTATTGAAATTAACATACTTTAATTATACTGCATGTGTCCTTTTTCCACTTGTGTTTGTTTGTTTTGTTTGTTTTTGTGGTGCGCGGGCCTCTCATTGTTGTGGCCTCTCCCGCTACGGAGCACAGGCTCCGGACGCGCAGGCTCAGCGGCCATGGCTTACGGGCACAGCCGCTCTGCGGCATGTGGGATCTTACCGGACCGGGGCACGAACCTGCGTCCCCCGCATCGGCAGGCGGACTCTCAACCACTGCGCCACCAGGGAAGCCCTCCACTTGTGTTTGTGAGATTGATTTACGTTAATACATAGCAGGTCCAGTTCATTCATCTTAAATGCACAGTGTATTTATTTCCTGAGGGACAGTTAGTTTTGATTTTTCACTGTTCGCAGCGCCGCAGTATCCTTGTGTCTTTCAGACTCTTGCAAGAGTTTCTCTAGGGCAGAAGCAGGAGAATTCAGTAAGTTGCTGGGTCTTAAGGTGTGTGCACCTTCCATTTTTCTAGATACTGACAGTGCTGTCCAATGAGGTTTTACCAGTGTATATTCCCAGTGGCCTTGAGGGTTTTTGTCTCTCATATTTACCAACACAAGACATTATTGGACTTTAATTTCTGCCAGTCTGGTGAGTTTGAAATGCTGTCCTTGTTTTGATTTGCATGACTGGGAAGTCAAATTTAATTCTTTGCTCTAGGAAATCATTGATGAGGTTTTTCTATTTTTGTTGTTGATCAGTGATAGTTTGTGGGGTTTAATGTGTTTGTCCACAGCTAGAACGTAAGAAGCCTTCTTTTGATCCTAACCTAGGTATCTGGACTTGTCTGCAATTAGATAATATTTTGTGATTTTTTAACTTTGAAGATGCGTGTGGGTTTTGGGTACTGGCAGTCTGACTCTTCCACTTCACAGGTGAGAAAACTGAGGCATCTGCAAGTTTGTGACATGACAGGTGTCACCCAGATAATTGTGGAGGAATCTCTACAATTCGATCTCTTGGCAGTTCTGTCCCTACCCAGGTACACCATCCGGAGCTTGCCTTGGGTCTTTTCTTAAGCTTCAGTTCCCCTCACCTGGGAAACAAAAACCTTAATCAAGACCAGAGGCCCTTTTCCATCACTACCATCTTATGAATGCTGGGTGCTGGGAAGGATGGTGCCTGCAGTCTTGACTGTATTACTTCTCTCTACGAGGCAAATCACTCACTTAGTCTGGTCATCAAGATAACCTAGAGTTATCAGCACGGATGCAGCAAGGAGGATGGGACAGATACCATCTAGATAGTGAACTGATCCAGTATAGAGCAGTGTGAAACTAGCTACTCTGCCGAGAGACCCAGCGGGGCTGAGCTTCTCCGTGACCCCCTGACCTGCTGACCTGGACTGGGGCAGGATGTGCTCACTGGAACAAACCAGTCACATGGCCTCTGGGCTTGCGCAAGACCTGGGAAGGCGATGCTGCCCAAGGGGTTCAGCCGCTCCAGGGTACAGGCCTTGTCACACATCAGCTGGGAGCCATCAGCCCCTCCTTCTCCAAATACTTAGCCCTGCAGGTATTTGGGGGGGGTACTTTGTTCTGGTGGTCAAGATAGCAGGATAAACCATCATGTGAGTAGGGGGATCATGATTTTCTTCCACACTGGGATACAGCTGAGAATAGAAAGAATTACCCTGGGATGGCAGGAGT